GTGTGTGTGTGTGTGTGTTGTGGTATAAATGGCTGCGTATATAAGGAACAAGGTGGAGTGGATCTGAGCCATTGTGTGAATCCTCAGGGTCGAGCAGACACACTCATGTATGGACTGTATGGCTGTTCATGGATCTGTTCCACATCCAGCACCAACTTTATAATGACACAAACCTCAAGCACATTAAAGTTATTATAATCAGTCCAATGCATACACTGTGCCTGACAACTACAGAAACAGCATTTCAGCATCCGAGCTGTTCCTTAACATGAGCTTCACACATTCTCATCATCCTTTGATAAAAATGACCTCGCTAAAGCTAAATGGTCTGTCTGTTAAATGTACATCTTTCCACCTGAGTTTGACCCAGTTTCCTCCTCTGTCCTTCTACTTGTCCCTCTTCACATCCATCTATTCTTTCCATCTCTTTTCAGCCCCTCCATCCCACCTCCACCTGAAGCTCTCTCCATGTTCATGTCCCACATCGATCCAGCTGACGGTGAAGCTTCTGAGCCACTGGGACGTGTTTCTTGAGGACGTGGACAATTTCTGGTCTTCAGTTTAAATATATTCCCACAAAACGCTTGATTTCCTCTGTTTATCAGAAATGACACCAAACACATGAGTAACTGTCACATTTCTGGTTAAGACGTCTTCATATTGTCCCAGACGGGGTGACATTACTGTCATTTAGCTTTTTTTATTCCCGCTTTTCCTTTGAAGACAATAATAGATGACTAACGGTAAACCCCAGGAGGCGGAAGTGACGTCCTCAGAGGAAGGATCACACAAACAGCTCATTTCACTGCTTTTAAAGGAAAAAGGGACAAAAGTAAAAAAAAGAAAAGGCTGAATTGAGCCTCTAACAGTTTTACCCACTGAGTTCTGAACCTCTGTGGAAACAGGAGAGAAAACTCTGAAAAGTCAGTTTAACAAAGTCATAACGCCACAGATCATAAAAAGAAAAAATTTATTGAATTCAGAATTTATTTTTGAAAAAAAAGTGGAATCAACAAAGTTTTTCAGGTGTCAGCAGGTTTTTTAACCGATGCTGGGCCGAGTGGTCCTGAAATTATTACACCTGATTAATCAGATCCTTCATTTGTTTTTCATGTTTTTTAAACGAGGCATGTAGATTTAAGTAGTTTTAAGTTTAGATTTGGTCAATTTTCACAACAGATGAATAGTTCAAGGACCGTCAGAAAGTTGAATATCTGACGATTCTTCTTGTTTTTACTCAGGGTGGGACTTTAACGCGTTAATTAATGCATAATTAACGCGTTAGCATACTTTAAAGCCTTAATTACAATCAATTAATCACAACCAAAAAACACATGTTTGCATCCAGACAACACGGAGCGTTTGTCAGCGCTTGACTTCATGGTCCACCGATCACATGATGCACAGCGTCAGCGCTACGCTAACAGCAACAAACATGGAGGAACCCGATGAGAG